CTGGAATAAATATTTAATATTACTATTCGGCGAGAAATAGCGGATGTAGTCAAACTGTTTATTGAACGAAGCATCAACAGCTGACAGCGTACCCCAGGATGAGCTGTTAGTCAGGATACACAATTTGGGTCTCTTACTTTTATCAATTTCTGAGTTTAAATTAATCGTGTGCTGAATTAGCGAGGATTCTTCGAATTCTTTAGCTTGGACTACCTTTTGAAGGGTTATGATTTGATTATTAAGGTCCGCTATTTCATTTTTGGCTGACTTCAGTTGCAGCTCGAGATCTTTAAGATTCTGCTCGAGGGTTAGGATGTTCCTGTTAGAGAATTCCTCTGTCTTGTTGTCACTGAATGCCCTGGGCGGTGTGGCTATTATATTTACATCTGAATATCGTGGGGAACTTCTAATTTTCTTTTTGGTGCTACAATTTGATTTACTTTTCTTTGGTGGTGTTTTGGATAGAAAAGCCTTTAATGTGTTATTTTCCTTGATAAGATTGGTCACTTGTGAACGGAGGTCGTTATTGTCTAGAATAATGTTTTCAAGTTCATTTTGTGTTGTGGAAAGGTCCATTCGTAGCTGTTCTATGATGTCTCTCATGTCCTGAATAGAGACAACTTCCGTCATTGTGTAATCCATACTTTTTGATAACAAGGTTTCATCAATAGTTAGACCATCGGAAAAAATGTCTGTAGTTTCTTTTCCTGATTCTGTGCTAGCTGGAGTAGATACTGGTGTGGTCTCCTGGGCAGTATCAGAGGGTAGGATTACATTATCGCTAATATTGTGTACCAACATCTTCTTCCTCAATGTCACATTGCTCTCCTCGGTAGTTAATAAAGTTTGCACAGCTATTTTTTTATCGCATGATTTGCATTGCCATTTTTTACTCTTTTCTGGATTGCCAACACAAGAAAATTCAAAATAGTTTTTGCATAAGGTGCACACAATTGTGCTTTTATAATCGACACGACTTTTACATTTATAGCATGTAACATTTAATGACCTCTTGCGGCCGCTGTTGGTATCACTTCTAATCTTAGACGACATGGTTAGTTAATAATTAATTGATTGAACGGTAATGACATCAGTTTCTCACGACGCCTGCTAGATGTCGCTGAGTGTATGTATATGTCTAACAAAGAAACGTGCTGATTGGTCAATTCAATAGGTGGTAGTTCAAGTCGTAAGAAAAAACGATCTTTTTATTGCTTCACAACAACAAAAATATCTTTAGTGCACAGATATCAATATAAATAAGAAATAAGTATTATCACAGAGAGAAAAATACTTATTTCTTATTGCTGTTACAACTATTGTTTACTGGTAAGACGTCAATATTTTGTTTTAAGTTTGTAAATTTTGAAAACACTTACGTATTGTTCATAGCACAATTTTGTCCAAAGTTAGTTTCTGATCACATAAATAACATTCACACACAAAGGTTGCACATCAATATTTTAGCTTATAAACAGTTCACCACAATAATAACTAATCTTTAATTTTAATAGAAATAAAACTACGGAGCTGATGTAAACAAGAGCACAGTCTTTTTTTTTTTTTTTTTTAGCACCAAATAATTTATCTGAACTGATTCATTAACATTCACAACATTATTTGCTGCTAATTATTATGGATTTAATTTACATTATATACAATTTGAAATTAAGCACTCCGAAATTATATAGTGATTGAACATACCTTAACTAGATGATCAAATTATTCATGCACAATGAAATTATTTCAACAAGGGGAGTATTTATGGCAGTGCATCTTAACAAGTAAAATTCATAAGATATATTTTACACAAAGCAGATAGAATACCTGTTTAACACGATTATTATCACCATTATAATCCGAACACCATTGGTATCTTATTGTATTTTAAAAAAACAACAAAATATTACTAACACAGTACAAAATTTAAGTAAAGAAATATAATATGTCAGCAACAAGTATATGATAAAATACAGGATACTTATGCTGCATAAGAAACTAATTGTGATAATCCTAAAAAAACTAATAGTTTTAAAATGCAGCATTACCAATGCCTTGTCATTATATACTCTAGCATAAGTAAATTTAAAATGTTCCCAAAATAAAAATGATTACATTTACTTTAATTTGTGACATGCTATCACAATGAAACAGAGGTGATTTTACAACCAGTATAATTTTCCTCTTTAAATTGGAAAAGGGAAATGGAGTAGCTGTACCTAATGTTAATGTATTACTTTTTGTAAGGCATCAGTGTTTAAAAACGACGTCAAACTGTTACTACTATTAATTTTAACTCACAAATTTGTTATGAAAGTCACTAAAGAGGATACTTAAACATTAATGACTAACTTATGACAACTTAATAGATATGGAATGAAGATAGCAAAGCTCATAACAAACAAATTTTTGGTAAAATACAATAGAAAATTATTTGACTTAAAAAAAACTATACTGTTTTTAATTTTTGCCTCAAGGCATACAGATATATAAAGAAACTTATTATTTTGAATGAATTGCTTTTTAAAATTTAATGTTAGCATTTACATTCTGGGACGACCTGGTGGGATATACAGGAAATCAAAGTTATTGGGGGTTCTTTGGATGAGTATGAAATAGTATGTGATTCTATTAAAAAAAGTAGTTTGTGAGTTCGTTTACTCTTCAGTTTTATATAGTAAAAGTAAGTAATCGTAAGTTTTTATTCATCAGTCAGTCGTAGTTCAAAGTTGTAAAAAACTAATTTTAAATCCAATGTTAAGTATAAAAGCTAGATTAAAATCCTTGCACACTTGGTTCATTTATTTTTAAGAGAGGTCAACACATAACGGCGTCCGTAGTTAATAAACCAGTATTGTGGTGAACTTTGAAATCTAACGATTGGATTAAAAATGATTGTAGTGCTATATTTCATAGTTTTTTTTTTTTAATAAATAAGTGCGTGGGAGTTATATATCATTTAAATGGTAAGTTTCTTATAACGATAATAGTATAAAGTATGTAGTTATTTACATTGTAATAAAGTATATATGTGGTAGAGCCATGCCGCAGCTATATTATCATTGTAGCAAGAATAGGTCGGCTCAACCGGGGAAGTACCACACTGTCACAGATATACTAGCTTAAAATAGCTGCTCGATGCTGCTGTGTTTTGCATGATGAGTGTAGAGATATTGATAGCTATACTCGAGGAACAAATACTGACCCTCGCCACGCACTTAGCATTGCACATATTTCCTTCTTAGCGGCGCTATAATGTGTTATTGTATCGCTTCCAGAAGTGCTGAACGTGGTGGTGTGTGTATCGCTGTGTGTTGTATGACTGTAGTAGTTGTATCGTTGTGTACTTTATCGCTAGGTCATATTGTATCGCTTCCAGAAGTGCTGGATGTGGTCGTGTGTGTATCGCTGTGTTGTTGTATCGCTGTGTGCTGTATTGCTAGGTCTTGTATCACTTCCAGAAGTGCTGAACGTGGTGGTGTGTGTATCGCTGTGTGTTGTATGACTGTAGTAGTTGTATCGTTGTGTACTGTATCGCTAGGTCATATTGTATCGCTTCCAGAAGTGCTGGATGTGGTCGTGTGTGTATCGCTGTGTTGTTGTATCGCTGTGTTGTTGTATCGCTGTGTGCTGTATTGCTAGGTCTTGTATCACTTCCAGAAGTACTGAACGTGGTGGTGCGTGTATCGCTGTGTGTTGTATGACTGTAGTAGTTGTATCGTTGTGTACTGTATCGCTAGGTCATATTGTATCGCTTCCAGAAGTGCTGTATGTGGTCGTGTGTGTATCGATGTGTTGTTGTATCGCTGTGTGCTGTATTGCTAGGTCTTGTATCACTTCCAGAAGTGCTGAACGTGGTGGTGTGTGTATCGCTGTGTGTTGTATGACTGTAGTAGTTGTATCGTTGTGTACTGTATCGCTAGGTCATATTGTATCGCTTCCAGAAGTGCTGGGTGTGTGTATCGCTGTGTTGTTGTATCGCTGTGTGCTGTATTGCTAGGTCTTGTATCACATCCAGAAGTGCTGAACGTGGTGGTGTGTGTATCGCTGTGTGTTGTATGACTGTAGTAGTTGTATCGTTGTGTACTGTATCGATAGGTCATATTGTATCGCTTCCAGAAGTGCTGGATGTGGTCGTGTGTGTATCGCTGTGTTTTTGTATCGCTGTGTTGTTGTATCGCTGTGTGCTGTATTGCTAGGTCTTGTATCACTTCCAGAAGTGCTGAACGTGGTGGTGTGTGTATCGCTGTGTGTTGTATGACTGTAGTAGTTGTATCGTTGTGTACTGTATCGCTAGGTCATATTGTATCGCTTCCAGAAGTGCTGGATGTGGTCGTGTGTGTATCGCTGTGTTGTTGTATCGCTGTGTGCTGTATTGCTAGGTCTTGTATCACTTCCAGAAGTGCTGAACGTGGTGGTGTGTGTATCGCTGTGTGTTGTATGACTGTAGTAGTTGTATCGTTGTGTACTGTATCGCTAGGTCATATTGTATCGCTTCCAGAAGTGCTGGATGTGGTCGTGTGTGTATCGCTGTGTTGTTGTATCGCTGTGTGCTGTATTGCTAGGTCTTGTATCACTTCCAGAAGTGCTGAACGTGGTGGTGTGTGTATCGCTGTGTGTTGTATGACTGTAGTAGTTGTATCGTTGTGTACTGTATCGCTAGGTCATATTGTATCGCTTCCAGAAGTGCTGGATGTGGTCGTGTGTGTATCGCTGTGTTGTTGTATCGCTGTGTGCTGTATTGCTAGGTCTTGTATCACTTCCAGAAGTGCTGAACGTGGTGGTGTGTGTATCGCCGTGTGTTGTATGACTGTAGTTGTTGTATCGTTGTGTACTGTATCGCTAGGTCATATTGTATCGCTTCTAGAAGTGTCAAATGTGGTGGTGTGTATGGCTGTGTTGTTTTATCGCTGTTTATTGTCGTATCGCTGTATCTTGTGGTATCGCTGTGTGTTGATGTATATATGACTGTTGTTATTGTATCTCTGTGTGCTGTATCGCTAGGTCTTGTTGTATCGCTTCCAGAAGCGCTTGACGTCGTCGTGACCGGCGCGGGTGACGAGCGCTGTGCGCGTGCGCTCGCTCTGCCACGTGAGCACACCCGCGGCGCGAGCATAGTCTCGCAGCGCTGTGAAGTCCGCCTGCACACACAGAAATAATTATAGGTTGCTCTTCATTAAAAACATAGAAATTCACAACTATACAATAATTTACAATATAAAACGGGAATTTTAGATGCAAGAGACGTGCGTTCCAAATGCAGTTAGTTTGCTCAGTAGGAGGAGCGCATGTGATGCGTCGCCCCGAACGGGCCGGAGCGCGGGTTGGCGTACATCATAGAGAGGTGAGAGTCACCACACACCTTAAGAATCGAATTTCATATACAAAATGTCCAATAATTAATGACCTTGAATACTGAGCTTTCTCGAAGAATCGATTTCCATATACACGTGTCCAGTAATTAGTGGATAACCTGGATATGGAGCTTATTCCATAAGAATTGATTTCCAGATACAAGACGTCCAGTAATTAATGAATAACCTCGAAATGACCCATTCGTACCAACCATAATATAGAGGCAGCGTGACTCTATGTTATTCGGGTTAGGTCATTGAAACTAAGGGATTGGGCAAAATTTAAACAAAAATGGTATGAACTATAGTGTCCTGTTCGGATATCCAAGGGGGGCAAACGAGCATGCGGATCACCTAATGGTAAATCACCGCCACCCATGAACAACTGCAACACCAGGGAAATTGCAGGTAAGTTGCCGGCTTTTTAAAAAAGTATAGACTGTTTTCGTGAAAGTCCGTACGGTCACGAAGATCGTATTAGAAAAATCGTTGTAACACGAATGGATCGGCTCGATCAAGGAAGAACCACGCTCTCACAGAATACCGGAAAAAAAACTATAATAATTGATTTAAATTTTGTTCTTCCCATATTGTGAGCCTCAATCCCTGACTGACACTGTAACTAAATATTATACGAGACTATTTTATGATATAAAGTAAAAGATGTGATTAAATGTATGGTTAAGTTACGGAATACATAATTATAAATGAAAATATTGATAATGTATAGTTGCGAGAGTAAGATAAAGAAAATTATCGGAGGTTAGTATAGTATACAATCAGCCTGATCAGCTGAGAGTTTGGAAAACCTAATAGCCGATTAATTTTTTAAGGTTGTTCGGACACGATTAAATGCGGAATAAGTTTTAATGTATTTTAATGAGGGAAATGATAATTTATTATGTATTGTATAGGAATATTCTCCCCTATCTTGATCATGTATGTACGCGAGCCGTGTACGTGAAAGAATTGACATTCTTACATGTTGTATATGAAAAAAAAAGAATAAAATAAAATATTGAAATGTAAAAGATTATGAAGATTAAGAGAATATTATATATAATAGTAGCTACTAGCCAGGCAGACGTTGTTCTGCTCTTTTCGGCGACCCTTTGTCATAGCCTATTAAAATCCTTATGGTTGCGCGGAAAACCATTCGTATTTATTTTATTTGCCGGTAGGTTGCCAAATCGGTTATCCCTTTCCAAAACGATATCATTCGTACCCTCCTATCGACACATCGGGGTGGTGGGGTGGGAGGGGAAAGAAGATGATTCTAGAACATCACGTAATCATCGGAACCGAGGATATATAAGACACGCGCGACCGACGCGTGGCCTCTTCCCGCCGCGCTCGCCGTTGAAACTACACCGATTCTCTCCCGACGTATCTCTGGGGCCCCAGAGTGTCTGTCCAGAGGAGGTTCCAGAAGTCGCAGTTATAGTGTTCGACCGCACAGAAGAAACATCCCGGTGAGTCAACATTTTCCTAATAGTATTTTCCTGCTTGATATAGTAGTTTTAACCCGCTCCAATTTTGTATTTTCCTAATCAAGCAGGATTCCTTTCATCGATTTGGCATAATAGTTCGTTTTTTTGGGAAGAGCGAGTGCATTGTACCGCATATACAAGTGTAGAAGCATTAGTAGATACAGTCCACTTAGATTAATAATTCGCGCAATAGGTTTAAGGTTCGACCGGGGAACTAGACTTCGGCAGCCTTAAACACGTGGCTCCACCATTTTATGGTCACTTCGGGCAGGATTTGGATTGGTGTTTGGTGGTCCTCCAACCATTTTCTGGTCGAATTATTAAATTAATTATTTAGATAATGCACTCTAATCTATGGAATAGACTTAAATAGTGTTCGTTTAAATTTAAATTTTGATTAGGTACTCGCAAACAGAATTATTTATTTTATAGCGCTCGTATTTGGTTAAATTTAAAGCTTATTAAATAATTGAAACAGTGTGATAGCAACCGTTTGGTACGATTACCCGACAATCTTTATAAAAACATTGAGTTAGCAAGCAACGTGTCGCCTCGACTGTAGCAGGTGTTCGATTTAATTACGTAATACGGCATACCGAGCGTCCATCGTCCATCGTTTATGCGTGTGAGATTAATTGTGATTAATAACTTTGTTATAATAATTTAAAATGGCAGTTAGTGGAAGTGAATTTAAAATTAAAACGCTTTATGCCAAGAGGGACGTACTTTTTTCACGTATTCAAAGCATTAGCGATCATATAAAGAACATTAATGTAGAAGCGGTGCGGGAAACTTTTCTGAATGAAATTGAAACGGTGGATTCTTTGCGGACGGATTACGAAAGAATATTAGACCAAATTAATCATTTGGAATTACAAATCGACCCGAAATACATAGTGAACTACCAACCGCTGTTGGCATTCGAAGATATGTTGTGTCGCATGAAAAGAACGGCAAAACTCCTACAATCTCAAAACGAAGCAAAGCCGGAATTGCGGGTACGTCCTCGTGACTCAATTAGGTTGCCGCCAATAGATATTCCGGTATTCAATGGTGATATTAAGACGTGGCCCTTCTTCTTCAGTAGTTTTCAAAACAATATACACAATAACCCATCGTTATCGGACGCTGAAAAATTATATTACTTAATTAGTAAACTTAGTGGCAGGGCACAGTCGATCTGCTCTGGGTTTACACCTACAGCAAACAATTACTTATAGTTATTCGAAACGCTTAAAACTAAATATGAAGATAGGAGAATGTTAGCTTCCGAATATTTGAACCAGATTTTCGATCTTAAACCTATATCATCCGCGAACATCAACGGCTTAGAGCAGTTTCTAGATAAATTTGTGGCATCGGCGGCTGCACTTAAGAATTTAAAATTTAATGACCTTATGGACGTGGGTTTCTCCATATTGCACTAAAGAAATTAGACCCCGACACCGTGCGTGCGTTTGAAATGGAGCATCGTAGCTCGGAGATGCCTTCCTTTCATTCATTAGCATCGTTCGTGCGAGATCAAATAAAGGTGATGCAGCGCTCTCCGAACGTTAAACAGGAGATTAAAAGGTGCGTCGACCGTAGACAGACTCAACCATCTAAAATAGCAGGGTCGTTAACTTACGTAACCGCTACGTCAACATCACTTCAGCATACTTGTATCGTATGTAAAGATAAACACGGTAATTTATATAATTGTGCGACTTTTCGTAAATATTCACCAAGCGAACGTTATAAATTAGTAAAGACAAACAACCTATGTCTGAACTGCTTAAGTGATAAGCATTTAGTTGCAAAATGCAATTCGAGTTCCGTATGTAGCAAGTGCGCCAGGAAACATCACACGCTATTACATACATTTTGAAAATAGCAACATAGCGGCGTCAAGTAAAGCGGACAAGGAATTCACCCCTACTAAGGTCAACGATTCTGGCGGTCGACCTGGTGATGTCGCTCTGTGCTCATTGGCAAATATGGGAGCACAACCTCCTTCAACCGTGTTACTGGGTACGGCGCGTATTTTGGTTAGGGATTCGCGTGGGAACGAACAAAGCGTCCGTGCACTGCTGGACAGCGGAGCCCAAAATAGCTTTATAACGCGACAATGTTGTCAGCGCTTAGGCTTAGTAATAAATAGGTCACTTTCATGTCCTGTAGTTAAAGGCATCGGAGGTACTAGTAAAGCTACCCAGGGATATATTAATTTAAAATTTTATTCTCGGATAGATCGTAATGTTAACTTTGATATAAATGCACTAGTAGTAGATAGGGTCACTGAACGGTTGCCAACCGTTTCGGTTGACACCTCGGCAATGATTGAGTTTAAAAATTTGATTCTAGCGGACGACACTTACGCCGTTCCTGGAAACATAGACATGCTCATTGGAGCATCGCTTTTCCCTCATATTTTGTTAAACAATAAGGTCAGGGGCAACTCCTCGCATACCGCGCCTTACGCACTAGAAACCGTATTGGGCTATGTTATCATTGGCTCCGCCCCCATCATAGATAGTATTTCGGCAACCTCTTATTGTGGTATGGCTGTCGAACCGCTCGAGTCGTTAGTCCGCAAATTTTGGGAGATGGAGGAGGTGAACGTCCCACCCATAGCTAGCTCAGATGACAGATTATGCGAGGAAATTTACGTCCGCACGACCGTTCGTGATCGCGACGGTAGATATAGTGTAGCGCTGCCCTTTAAGGGAGATGTTTTATCTCTCGGCGATTCGCGTCAAATGGCGGAAAAACGTTTCTACAGTTTGGAGCGTAGGATGCTCGCTTCACCCCAGTTAAAGGAAGCTTACGACGGCGTCATTAACGAATATATAAGAGAAGGTTACATATCACTCGTGGCTTCGAAATTAGATAACTACGAAGACACACCGTCGTATTTCATACCACACCACGGGGTCATTAGGGAGGACAAACTTACATCTAAGTTACGTGTAGTGCTCGACGCTAGTGCTAAAACTAGCACTCACCTGTCGCTTAACGATATCCTCTATAGTGGGCAAAATTTACAGGGCAGTTTATTTAATATAATAGCCAATTTTCGTTTGTTTAGTATAGCACTATCCGCCGATATTCGCCAAATGTTTCTTTGCATAGGGGTCCGTGAATGCGACCGTAGATTCCAACGCATTTTATATCGTTTCAACCCAAAGGAACCTCTAATGGTGTTTGAATTTAACCGCGTTTGTTTTGGTTTAAAGTGGAGCCCATTTCATGCGTTACGCACGGTGAAACAGCTCGCCCACGATGAAGGTCCCTCTTACCCTAAAGCTAAAAGGGCAA